CCCCCCCCCCCCCCCCCCCCGACCCCCGGGACACCAGGAAAACGTCCCTTCCTCACCTCACCTGTGCTCCAAATATGAACCCCCACCCCATCCTCTCGCTTTCCTTGTCGTCCCCAAGCACCACTGGCTTTAACATATCGGGCAGAGTTGTATAAGTTGAAACTTAATTTGCTTGTATGTGGGCGGGGTCGGGTGGGAGAGACGGAGGCTTAGATGGCGAAAGGCCGCCGCTCTCTCTGCCCCTGCACCACGCGCAGCGCCGTCCTCTCTGCGCACTCTGCTCAGCCGCCTCCCTCATATCTTGGTTTCGTTGTTCCAAGATGCATTACAATAGGTGTGTGTCATCAGGCAGGGTTGGATGGGTGAGTTAATGCACTTTGTATTCTGTATATTATGTATTGTTCTTTTTTTTGCATCCTGAGTGACACCAAAATAATAAGTGTAAGGAGTTAGGAACCATGGTCACGACTCGGTCTTTGGTTTTCTCTCCCTTTCCCTGCTAATGGCCGGGTTCAGGGGAAGAGTTGGAAACGATATGTGGATGATTTCCATAGCGAATCTAAAAGGGGTGGCTGTTTAGTTTTGGAGACTTAGTATTCATCGGCCCCCTTTTTGGACCAGAACGGGCACATACTCACTTGGGCCATGTTTTGGCCGTGCTAATCTGAGGTCGCCTGCTGGAGCTCAGCCAAATGTGGATTTAAAACGCTTTTTTTAGCCCCTCCACGCCGATGTAGTCTTTCTCCCTTTGCTCCTGTTCCCTCTAAATATGATGCATGATTGTGACCTGTAAAGAAAAAAACTGAACATGTTTTTAAATAGCGGTGGAGCACACGCTTATTGATTCAGAAGTAAGTTAAGAAACAGACGAGGCCCATAGATTTTCCCCATCGCACTCTGTTCCCGTTTTGCTGTCCCGACAATCCATTTACACGCACTCCCCAGGAAGAGCCAGTCGACTTCATCCTTGAATTATTTTTAAGCCAGCGAGGCCAGTGGGTCCATGAGCTTAGGCTCCCTTCAGTTGATCTGGAATCACATCAAGATGTGTGTTTACCGTGAACCTAACAGGTTTTTGCAAGATGGAAGCAAGCATGTTACCGGTGGGCAGCCCGGTTATGCGAGGACTCCTCTAGTTCGCCTGGCTTAGAGAAGTGGTAGTGCTAAAGCGACTCGCATGAGGTTACGCACTTTTATACTTGGAAACTCTTTGCTGTAACAACTGAGCCCAAATTCCACTCCGCAGCCAGCCAAGATGCTTTGGATACACATCCAATGTTACTGTTGCTATGTAATCATGTGGCCCACATTGCATTGTGATGAGGGAGGCCACAGCCTAAGATGAGCTGACTGAACACAGACTGCTCATAAAGGTTTTCTCCCTGCAACCTTTGAAACAGAACAAACACTGCTATGAGCTTTCTGTATCCAGCCATAAAAGTTACCAGTCACCGCCTTCATAGTTGTGACCTGCAGGAGCTAAAGTGTTGAAAGACTTGTTCGTAGTCATTCTGCAGGTGTGTTGGACATTGTTCTCTCCGTGTTTAGATATATATCAAATATATCTCCTGTTCCGACATGGTGGTTCCTTTGACAATTCAGACAGTAATATGGAAAAATATAAATCAAATCCATTTTTATTTGTGTAGAACCATTGCTGGAAAATAGATTTACCTCTCCCACTTCTACTGGAATGATTTGTACTGACACACTACACAGACTGATCTTTGATCTCAGGGGTGTCAGATGGGAAAAAGCAGATGACTTTTTTTTTTACATGTGAGGGGGAAAAAGTGCGAGTATGTGCGATATGCTAAAGTCCCACTCGCTACTCTGATTCAACCTCTGAAACAGCTCAAAGGAGTAATCATTACATCTCCAGGCTTCACTCAAGAATCTGAACTAGATGACGGCACTCACTGAGAATCAATGTATAGAACTGCTTCAGGGAACCTTCCCAAACTTGTGTTCCTCCATGTGAGCTCAGTGATGAGCACATGCACCACTACATCCACCCTCTCACTTCAAAATGTGTCAAAGTTGGAGCAGGTGAAGGAAAACTGACCTGTACATACATATCTACATACATGCTTGTTATGGTGCTGTATGAATGCAATGCTTTTCTCCCTTTCAGCTCTTGTAAATAGACCTAAAAAATGTTTGGTTTCCCCCCCTGCTTTTCACTCTTTCTGTTGCTCGAGCTGTTTCGGATTCGATGGTTCCTTACTCCTTTCTGATCAACACTGCTTCTGCTGTATTTTCAGGTATTGCAGAGGCTATGTGAATCTGTATCATATGGAAATATTTTTAAATGCTGCTGATTCAAAGACAAATCTGAGATGATACCCTGTAAAGAACGACTGTCCCCCTGATTATGACTTCCTTCTCAAAAATAACAATTTCATAATTGTAATGCTACTGTGGCAAAATCTGCTTGCTTTAAAACTGTTTAATGTAATGTATAAAATTACATTTTAGAGATGTGTTGTTAGATTTTACTATTTTTCTGTGGTTTGGCTCCCACTGACATTGTGAGTCTTAAGTTCATTGTGTATTTTTTGATTGGCAATAACAAACAATGAAAAGCATTATTTGGTATAAAAGCTTAGATTTTCTTACTTTTGAAATGAAGATTTGCTTTAAGAAAAATGCTAAAAAATGTTTAAATCAACAGTGGACAAGGGGTTCTGTAACACTACTTGACATTTGGATTTGCACAGAGCAGTTCTATGAGAGGAAAAAGCAGGGTGTGTTTCAGACCCAACCAACAGGGTGCGTCATTCAGATATGATAAATATGTGCCAGAATGTATAAAGAATTAGAGGCTGTGTGCTCTGAAGTACTTTTGTGCTGCTTTTACCTTTTCTCACTGTTTTGTTTTTTGTTTGTTTTACAAGTTGTTTTTCTTTTTTTGTTTTCTCTTAAAGCCTAATTGGTATATTTCATCCTGGCCTAAGACAACTGCAGGGAAATCAGAAGCACCCTTCTTTCCAAGATGAAAAAATGAATAACTATAAGGTTTACATGATAAATAGGATGACTGGAAAATACAGGAATGATTTTAATGACTTCAGAAAGTACTGGGGTACTTGGAATGTTTCATTTGTGTGGGAGATGTTGAGAGGATTTTTGTCAGTATTTGAAATAAACTTTTACATTAATAAGACTTCAATTTAGTTTTTTCTTGTTCAGGTTGCTTTCCCTGATTTGAAATGATTTTTTTAATTATTTTTGGGGGTTTATTGCAAACCAAAACATTAGTATGAAGCCTGAAATAACTAGGTATCAGACTAACCTGTAAAAAAAGCCTAAAGAACATAGTAGATAAATTATTCACGCCACCCGGAACAACTTTATTGTTCGTGTAAGTTTAGCTAAACATTAACTTATCAGGTTTGCCCACTAGGGGGAAGCACAGACACTGCAATATGGCACTGACGGAACAACCTTCAAGATATTTCCAGAATGCACTATTTAACAAAAGGCACTTAGGGTATGATTTAAAAATAACATCGATTGAAAAGTTTCTACTGCAGTAATTGCACTGCTTCCCAGACTATAGCAGGCTGTTTTTAATTAGTATTAGTTATTTAGTAAAATAAAACAACAGGCAATGTGTAAATTGCTTTGCTTACGTTTTTAAATGGGACGTTTTCTAAAAACATTGGAAGGCCTTGAATTATAGTTGGGGTACTTTTGGTTAGGGATTTTTCATTTTTTATTGTTAAAAAAATTCCACTCTCTACCACACTCTGAGTCTTGATGTAATGGAAAAACACAGAAACCATAATTTGAGACCTTATCGCTATAACTTCTCTGTTTCAGAAAAACGACATTTAATATGGAATTCAATGTTCACCACATACCTAATACGACACAAATTGGATGGAAACCTATTTGAATAATCAAATAGTTTATCGAAGAACATTTTTAAAAAGGAGAAGAAGAAATATGTAGGAGGAACGGTTGTGACGTCAATCGTCACCAGCATATAAAACCTCACGAGCCCCGGCAGTACTGCTTCCGTTTCGCAGCCCCACGAGAAGAGAATAATGAGCCAACGGTTGGAGTAAAGCTAGCTTATCGATTAAAACAGGCTGGCATAGAAATTTAATAACCTAATTTTCGACTTAACAACTGCGCATACTTTTCAAACAAATCCTCCAAATTACGATGTATCCCATGTCAAGTCGCAGCTGGGGCTGCCTTATTGTTCCTCAAAATGGAGTCTCTGATGGACAAATGCTACTCAGGCCAGGACATCCCTTCCTGCCGGTTGCAGTGGATTCCCCATCGGACCCTCACCACGCCAACGACGGGTCCATTGATGCGCAAAAGCGACCGAAAACCCTTCGAGTGGTTTCGTCAAATGGATACCCAGCCAAATCCTTTCAGGAGGTTGTCGACGATGCTAGCGACGGCTCTCTGCCCTGCACGCCGGAGCTTCATTCGGACAGTGAAACGGACGTGGCCAACGGTCACGCCGGGGACAAAGTCTTGGATCATGACACGAGACAACTCATTGGCAGGTTCTATGGAGACTTTACAGGACTTTCGAAATCAAGATGGACTGAAAGCAAGGCGTTAACCACAATGAAAAGAGTCGTGGGGGACGTATTAGAAAAACACCAATACGCTTACAATGGTAAGTAGCCATTGTGCGAGGATTTTTTCACTCGGTCTCTGTCTCCTTCAGCCACGCTGGTTATTTCACACAGACGCCATTCTTATGTGCTCTGCTTTCTGGCAAGTCGAGGCCATTTTAACCTTTGCTACAAGTACGAGGAAGTGAGAGGCGATTAACAAAAGTCGTGTTAACTCGTGCAGCCATTTGTTCCGGTGGAAAAGCAGCCTATTAATGGGAAGGGCAGCGGTTCGAGCCCAGGGTTCCCCTGGACGTGTGTGTGTAATGGACGGACAAGCGGTGTGTAGCATAATATCCCAAGATACATACTTTATTGGAGAACGAATATTGAATGTACTTTTTAAAAAGATTTTTTGGTCTCCTTGTATAGAAGAATTGCAGTCACCTGATAGGCAGTTCAGTGCAGGAAAATGAATCCAGTACAAACTGGAAGAAGAAGAAGGCAGGGAGGCCAAACGTCACCGAGCTCAAAGAGGAAGTCCAGTTGCCTTTATTCATACTTGGGATCGCTATGAGTTGGATTGACTGAGAATTTATGCCAACATAAATGTATTTGTGGCACACATGTATTTACTTTTTAATATATATATAGTTTGAAAAGAAAAGTGTGCTGACTTGCCTTTTTGCTTCTCTAGGTATGATAAACAAACTGTCACTGGACAGAAAAGGGGACGACATGAGGTTCGTCAGCGAAGTCGCCAAGAGCCTCTTTGCAGACGGGACCACCAACTGGGGTCGCATCGCCAGCCTGGTGGCCTTCGGGGCGGTGGTGTGCCAGCACCTTAAGGACATGGGCAGAGAGAACTGCGTGGAGCTGGTGAGCCAGGAGATTTCCTCATGTCTCCTGACAGACCAGCGGGACTGGCTGGTGAAAAACAACTCATGGGTAAGTTGCGTTTGAGTTGAATGTTGTGTCACTGGAGCATAAACCTTCACCTCTGTCCTGTTTGATGTTCCTTTTTTGTAATGTGCATTATTTTTTTATGTTTTCAGGACGGCTTTGTGGAGTTCTTTCACGTCGCAGACCCCGAGTCAACAGTCAGGAACACTCTAATGGCCTTTGCTGGATTTGCTAGTATTGGGGCAACACTGGCCCTGCTGATCAGGTGAACTTGTTGGGACTATCAGAGACTTGGTTTTGGATTCTTCCTCTTTTACCAGCTGTGTTTGGACTCTGGAAGATGGAAGTTTAAGCCGAAACCCCACCCCACTCACATCTGTAAAAATTGTTTTCAGTCGTCCCGGGATGGCTGTTGTATTTAATACACAGAAATTTTATTTTTCTAATAAATGTAAAGTTTCTAAAGGAATAACTGGTGATTATGGAAATTCACTCTTCAGTTGGACTCTTATACTGATTCAATTTATCTACATATATCACAGTTATACAATAGAATAACCTGGACATTTTATTTTTTTCTTCAAAATTTTCCCCATGTCATGTAGAAAAACATTTTTTCTACAGTCCATCCTATGATTTGCATGGACATTTCAATCAACTGAGGGTGGAGTAGAGGTGCAGTTTCCTTAGTGACGTTCTTCCTTGTTCTGATTGGATCATGCCGGATACAGGACCAACTACATGCTGGACTTCTGGTTTAAATGACCCTGGACAGCTTGAGTCTGTTGGAAAAGACTTGACAGAGATAGAAAAGACTGGATCATAGAAACTGTGCTGATCAGTTTAGAAGTCAAAAGTCATTTTGGAAGAATTTCCTTCAGACAATGAGGGTTCAGATCCAGGTGTACACTAGTGGAAAAGGATTAATAAAAAGTCAAAGGAAAACTGGAATTCATAGCTTCTCATATGTTCTGCTCTGTGTTAGGTGAAGTGTGCAAATGGCACACGCATCACACCAAGCTAAATGTACACATTAAAATCAATCCACTATCACACCTATGCACTCGTTAACCTCTGTTTATTCACGACCACAACCCAAAGGCGGCAATGGCTGCCGTTTCCTCGAAATCTTTGACTGTAGCAGCCCTCTAGTTGCAGCGGTTGCCGCAGAAACCTGTTATTTGCAGAGCTGGTGCAGCAGCCAGACTGAACTGGGGTAGAAGCAGTTCATAACAACCTCAGACTTGCATAACACTGTTGACTTCCTGAGTTTGCAATCTTTAGCTACTTGGAAACGGGTGATTTTAATCAAATATCCTGTTTCGTTGGATGCATGTTTAGGGTTTTTTGCTTTGTTTCTTTATCTTGCACACATTTCATTAGATTTTACTCTATAAAACCTTTTTTTTCTGAGACCCAGAAGGTTCTGCTACCAACAATCCTTTAGTTTCCTCTTCTTCTGCTCCCTTATTGCATAACATGATGATGTACAAAGACAGGGTTTTTGTCCAGATTCTGCTGTTGTCTCGGGTTACAGTACAAACACTCTGGGTCTTTTGAGGAAATGGAGAGGAGGCTCTCCATGGTGATGATTCACAGCAGGCCTTTCTGCTCGTCGACGCTTGAACTTAATGATGTTGGCCACCACCTTGGTTACTCCTGTGTGCTTCATTGTGAAGGAAAAAAAAAACAGGGCACAATGGGGAATTGGCAGAGGCAATTTCACCCAGCAGTTTGCATCATCCGAAATGGTTCGGGGTTCACAGAAGGCGCGCTGTTCCATCGCCTGGAGGCTGAATATGCAGAGGGTACTGCTGTTTAAAGCCTGTGTGTGTGTATCCACATGTTTTTTTCTTCCCACCTAAGGAATTGCCATCAAAATATTTTCCCAGGATGTTCTCATTAAGGCCGTGTTTCTAAATGATCAGATCCTGGCATAGAATGAGGGTAGAAGGTAGATAATTCTGACTGTTATGATAAACTTGGGCAATTACAGTTTGCACACAGGTCACAGAAAGCAAAGAACTCCAAATGGAAAATGAAAGAACCAAGCAGGTTTTTTTTTTTTTTTTGTCTCTGTGGTTAAACTGTCTAAAGCAGGACAAAAGGGAAAGAAAACATCTGGATATGGAGTCGGAATCATGCTTTTTTTGTTGTTTTTGTTTAAATGTTTCAGGGTTTTTTTAAAAGTCGCAGCTGTTTAGTTTAAAAGGACCCAAAAGAAAGCGGGTTGAGAAATGTGGCCCTGCAGCTTCTGCAGTTCCGGGGCAGACGAGCAGCAGCCTGAACGACCTGCAGAAACCTTCCTGCATGCAGAACATTCCTCTGCTGGGATGGTCCAGGAGTGGTTCAGGCTATTGTCTGGCTCACATTTAGTGTTTGGACTCTTAAACTGAAAAGAGAAACAAGATTCTTTCGCTTTAGGATTAAAGTTTAACCACTTGGACTCACTGCTAGAATCTGTGGATATCAACTATGCATGAACCTCCACTGCTTTCTGGTGGCTCCGATAAGGAGGACTTTCAGCACTTGAGAAATATGAGAGAAAACAAAAGTCCGAGTTCAAATAAGTTTCAAAAGTAGATACTATTTCGTCATTTTATGGCTGCAACATTTCTTTTGTCTGACTTCCCCCTGTACAACTGACCCTCGGTATCTTAGAGGAACTGCCTTCAGACTCGGTATTGGCTGCGAGGCTCTGCTTCCTCATAGCAACAACAACGCCCCCTTTTTCTGTTGAAAAAAGCTACAGTTTCTGGGAAATCAGCTGAAGCGAAAGCTAATCGTTGAACAGGAGCCAGAGGGTGCGAATACCCAGAAGTCTGACGCAAATATGCGAAGATAGCTGAAGTGTCGCAGCTTGCAGCATCGATGTGTTAAAAAGAAAGAAAGAAAATAAGCAGACTTGGATTAAAAAGCTGAACACTTGCATGCCTTCACAGCCCCACTATAAAAAAAACTTCAGGGGAGTTTTCTGGAGCTGTTTCAACAGCACAGAGTTAGAAACCTGCCCACTAACTTTGATCTTCAAAAAGAGTCTTTAATTAAGTGCTTTGCTCTGTGAATATAAAGTATACGTTTGAATGTGTGCAGAGGGCAACTGGCTGCAGGGCCTCTCCTATAAACAGAAGCACCTTTTTAGTATAACGTGTTTAAATGTGTCTCGGGGAATTGGTGGGAAATGAGTGTTAGATCTCTGGTGGAGGTGCAGAAGTTGGATTTCGCTCCCTCCTCGAGCGAGTGGGGCCCCTTCCACACCGTTATCTATGTCGAGCCGCACTTCTCTGGAACTGCAGAAGCCAGAGTTTCCTGCGTGCGTTCGACGTTACCGCTAAAGCTCACTGACGTAGAGAATTATCTGATTGAAAAAGAAAAATAAACAAAAAAACTCAAAACATCGCATTCCTCCTTGCAGATTCCCGCCTATGATGCACACAAACCATCCACTGATTAGTTAGTGGAGTTATCTCCGAATGAGCGCCAGGCAGCACATTAGTTTGAGTTTTTTTTCATCCTGTTTAGAGAAAAAAGCTGGCAGACTGTCTTTAGCCCTGGAAAAGTCCTGCAGTTTTTCCAGGATAAGAATAAAGAATAAACTCAGTGTGTGCTAAGGAGGTCACATAGCTTGTGTAGTGTTCATTAATTTGCTGTAAAACTGTGTAAATCTGTTTGCTTGCTCAAAAATATATATGATGTAAGATGGCGATGCTATAAGTGCTTATCAACCAATCAATATGCAGAATTCTGAGAAAAACTTCACTTTTGGATTCCAGGAGGCAGGTTTCCGTTTCCGTTCAGAAAGCTGCCAAAAAGACACGCTTTTCCCCCCCATGCTTGCATCACAACTGATGCCATAAATCGTTCCTGTTCCCCGTCTGCCGGCGGTCGCTCGGCTTTCATGCTCTCACAGTTGTTGAGCAACGCGGGGAATGGTTGAGCAACGCACTGCGAGGACGAAAAAGAGCTCTCAAAACCCGATCAGGTCCCCTTTTCAGCCGTCTGAACATCGAGTTCTTCTCAGCTAGCTAGCCGACACCTGTGAGATGAAATTCCGTCCACCTGAGGACGTGTCGGGTTCCTCAGAGTTGAGTCACCCTGTGGGGGTCAGTTCTCTGGTGGCCAAAGGGCAGGGCTGACCGGCAGTCTTTGATCAGGCCCTCTGTCAATGGGCATCTCTCAGGCCACACTGGATGCTTCATGTTCTTTTCTCTTTTTTTTTTCCACAGAATACTGAGCAGGCCTTAGCAGCTCATGGTAGCTTGTTATGCAACAGAAGTAGCATTTGGGATGTTTTAGGTAGGTTTGGTCTTCCATTGTCTAGTATGCAAAGGTAGTCAAAATGTAGGGAAACTTGTACGACTGGCTAACTACAGTGAATAGGATTAAAACATTTACCAGAGCCCCGACTTCCTGTTACGCCTTTAATAACCAACTGTGGTGTTAAACTCCAATAAAATGTCAAGGTTGGCAGTTAATCAGTCGCTGATATTTATTTATTTTTAGTCCTGAAAACACAGCAGAACCATTAGCTGATGCAGCAGGTGTTTATTTCAGGGATAAAGCCAACAAAATGCTCCATAGATCGCCCTGTCAGATTATTTTTGGAAAGGACGACTTGGAACAAAAGGCTCACATTTACATTCATGAGACCACATTTTCATTTAGTTTTTCTTTTGGAATGTCTCTGCTGGTTCTGTTGTGAATGTCACAGTTGTTTTTATTAAATTTTATCCACAAGGTTATGTTTGTTTGTGATATGTTTTTGAAATGTAATCTTTTTTTTTTGCGAGTATACAGTTTAACTATTTAAATCATGTTTTTAAAAAAAAATATTTTTTTTTACGGCTGCTGCTGTCATTTACTGTAACAGCTTTAATGAACATTCATAAAATGTGTGTTGCGGGTGCCTCCCTTTGCTCATGCAGAAGTTGCTGTAACCACCTTCTCTCAGCACACAGTGTTCCCTGTAGAAGTTTGTTGACTCCGCTTTTGGTCTTTGGAGACCTTCCATGTTTTCCTTTATTCACTTTAGCAACAAGGCCAGCTTTCTATCTGGCAGGGGGCGGGCCGTTCCCAGCAAAATTCCCGGCTTGTTACCGACAGGAAGGAAGTAGTAGGACATTTTGCTCTAAGAATAAATCCCGAGCCTCTGCAGTGTACACAATACGTGGCACTCCTCATGTGAACCACGCTCAGATATGTTCAACATGTCAATGTTTTTCTTCTTCATTCTTTGCTTTTGTATTGTTTTTTTTCCCACTCTTCCTCAAACCAGACCTGACTTTCTTCTGAATTTACTGCACATGGACTTTAAACATCTTTCTAGCTGCCAAAAGCGTGTCGGATGTGTTAATTTACATTTTGATAACCCCCGTAACAGTCATTTTGCAATTGTCGTTGGAAAGAGAACTGACGGGTGTGAAGTGGGTGGGATTTACCTGTTGGGGTTGCCCCAGGGACAGAAAGCACAGTTGGGCTCCCACCTGGCGTGCAATGGGCTGTTCCCTGTTGTCAGAACAACTACCATTATGTCAGATTTTGCCTTTGTTGGTGGTAATTTGAAGAACAACTCGGTTTAGAGAAGTGGACAGAGTGGGGAAAAACACAGCGCTGTGCACTGGAAAAGAACACGCACTTCCAGTCTAAAAGACACAAAGTGATCGTCTATGGCGATAAATGGTTAAGTTCTTTTTGGGTCTCACCAAAGCACCTTTAATGAGTGTGTTTGTGCAGATGCCCATGGTGCCGTCACAAAGAACAGAAAGAAATGACAGATGGCGCTTACTCCTTGGCTACCGGCCAGCAAAATGCTCTAAACGTCCTAACCATGTATTTAATGGTTCATTTAAACCTAAGAATGCACTTTAAATTGCTAACCCTATCCATTTCACCCAAAAAAGACAGGAAAAGTGAATGTGCGGGATGGATCCATTTCACTCTCATCTTCCTTTCCCAGCAGTGGTTACCAGACGAAACGAAAGGATGAAGATGTAAGTATATTTTGACGCATCCGAAATATAGATTTTTGTTCAGGCCACTAAAAAAAAAGCAGACCACTGGGACATTCCGAGCCTTTTGCTGCTCTGTTTGCTGACTGTTGATAACCCGGTCGTTAGGGAACTATGAACCAATAAAACTGTGTGACTGCCATCTGAAAGAGAAGTAGGTCATCCATTCTCTGCGTAAATATGTAACTCACGGACGAGCGAACTGAGGTGAATTTGCACTCGGCCACCCTGCATTGTGTTTGCAAAAAAGCATCGTGACCCAACCGCCCGAAGCTCTCAGGTGACTCTGTTCAGCCACTGCTGGTATTTCGGGGTCAGGCTTT